TTCCCTGATTGCTCTGCATGGCTTTGTAGCTTCTGCCATTGAGTCCAAGGTCCACCTTGGTTAGAGATTGTGTTTGGCTGCTAATAAAAAGGACCTAACTACTGTAAATTTATCTTATAAGGTTTATTCTCTCACATAAAAAAGCCAGAGGTAGGCTGTTCAGGGCTAGTTTGATGGCTTCTTGGTGAAGTTAGCAGGGACTGAGGTTCTTTCTCTCTATTGGCTCTATCATCCTTAGTGCAAGTCTTTCATCCTCAAAATAACAAGATAACTGCTGGAACTGCAGCCATCACATCCAAGCTCCAGGCTCTGGAAAGGAGAACAGAAAGGAAAAAATGGCAAACGTCCATACCCCTTTAAAGGGCTGTCCCAGAAATCCTTCCCAATGACTTTTTACATCTCATTGGCCAGAGCTGAGTTGTAGGGTCATAACTATCTGCAGGGGAGGCTGCGAAATTTAGTCTTTTAGCTGGGACACCCAGAATAAAATCAGGGTTTTGTAATTAAGGAAGAAAGGGAAATTGGGTGTGGGTAGCAGCAGCAATCTCTGCCAGTAGGTCCTTCATTAACTTGGCAGTAATGGAACCACTTATCCCTGACCTCTAGAATAATCTGGAAGGTGGTTCTTTGACTTCCTTTATCTTTGTTCCAGAAACTGGTAAATTCTCTTTATGGGTGGGCTGTTTTTCTGTTGGTAGCCAGAGAATGCTATTTTTATCCCCTTACGGGAAAGCTGATTATTAATACTCTTCCCTTTGACATTTATCAAATGGAAGCAGATTATATTTATTTACACACCCAGTAGCCTATCTTAGATTTGTACAGTTGCAGTATTTATGANTAGTGCTCTTCGCAGGGATCTGGGGAGTCTGTATGTGGTGTTGGCCTGTTATGTTGGAGTTTTAAAGCTTCACTGCATTTTTAGGTGGAGCAAGAACATGGAGTTCTCATGGAATTCTCCACTAAGAACCTGTGTCTCCTCTCATTAGGTTCCACACCTGACCAAGGAGTGTTTGGTAGCACTGAGATGCGGGAGAGAATGCGCTGATCTGAAGCGAGCCCTGCGTCAGGAACTCTGCAACCTGGAGGAGGTACAAAAAGGGCCCCTCTCCTGGTCAGATACCATGGAGAAAGCCATGTAGGGTTGCTGACTTGGTCACTCTGACACCTTCTGCTGTCACAGGCTTATTCTTTCTGCCAGACTTTGTTAAGTTCAGCTTCTAGTCATCAGATTTTAACATGTGCATTCTTGCCC